GAAAAAAATGAATGTGGAAGTAATTATTTACCAGTAAAATGCTGTTCTGTGAGTTTTTGCAGTAGAAATTCACTAATGTACAAGAGCTAAAGTCTAGGAGGATAGGGATCATCTGTAGAGAGCTTGTCTTATGGAGATTTGTGTTTATCAGCTTTTTCTTTTTCTTGTAACTATCTCATTGTCCCTCCACAAACTTTTTGAAATGTGGCTTCTATTTTTCCTTCTGTCTTTTTAAATTCCTGTGTCAGCAAATGGTTAATTGGGACTTCTTTGTGGGGCCCTATGCATACTTATGAGGTCAGGAGTATGTTTCCTCAGAGGTTTGTGCAGGCTCCTACCAAAATCCACTCTTTTTTCTTGAAGGGAGCAAGTTGCTTGGTGATGTCTCTTCTACTTGTCTAGATCATCTGGCCAGCTAGATCTCCTGGGTTGGTTTAAGTAGTGATGACATGTTGCTGGGGGGAGAGGGGAATGAGTGGGCTAGCACTCTGCTTCTCACTCAATACTGCCACAAGAGTAGGGAACAGTGCAAGGGATTCCAACAGCTCAAACCCTTAGCCCAAACTCTGTTGGCAACATCTATTTTTCAAAACCCTTTGAAGAAGTTGGAAAAATGGTCCTGTGGGGCTTCTGTGTTTATATCCTATAGTCTAGTGATCCTGTGTCCTTTACTTTAGTGAAACCAACTTAAAAGTGAAGCAGGCCATCACCAGTACCAGTGACCTGGAAGATAATCTGGAGCTGCTTTCTGTCTTTGATGGTAAGTTAGGAAATAGATTTACCCACCCAAACTTTCATCAGGAGAGGACTGGCTAAATAAAATACAACACATCCATACAGGGAATTCTACTCAATTCATTACAGACAATATGCTAGTTGATGTTTGTTTATTTTACATTGCTGGGAATTGAACCCAAGGCCTTACGCATGCTCAGCAAGTACTCTACCACTAAACCACATCCCCAGCCCACAAGTTGATATTTATTGACATAGAAAAATAGTTATGCCATATTAGTAGGAGAAAAAATGCATGTTATGAAAGACTGCATAGTATATGTAACATAAACCTATTTGTGGAAACATGAATGTTTGATGTATAGGGAAAAAAATTTGAAAAGATATTCTTCAAAAGGTTAATAGCACTTTTCTCTAAACTTTTCTCTAGATTTTACCTTATCATTTTAAGTATAGCATAAATACTTTCAAAAGATATATGTACTAATCAGGAAGATGTTAAATTATTTCCATTTTGAAAAAATACTAGGTTTTCTTTAAGTATTTTTTTTCGTTTCTTCACATTTAGAGATCAACTGATCTGGCAGTACTGATGATAATAAGTTATGTGAGTTTTCCTCTCTGGATGATCCATGTCACATACATAATTATTTTTCTTTGATGTCCAGAAACTTTTATTTGCTTTTCTGAAGGGAGCTGGTAAGAAATAGGAAGCAGCTGAGACAGAATAGGAAAAAAATGTCATGAGTTTTCTTTCTACTTTTCTGTTGTGTCTCCTTCCATCCTGTTAGGAAAACCTAAATATTACAGAGCCAGAACTTTCACTCCTTCATTTTTCTGCAGGAGAAGTGAAGTGTGATCCTCCCAATAACAAGTTAGATAAATTCACAGGAATCCTGACCTATAAGAGGAAAAGCTACCCCCTGGACCATGACAAGCTGCTGCTCCGTGGCTGCATCATCAGGAATACAGATTGGTGTTTTGGCCTGGTCATTTATACTGGTACGTTTCCCTGAAGCCATAACCAGACTCTCAGCCTGTTGGAATCTGTTGTGGATAGTTAGTTTTTAGGATATGGATATGACATCAGCTGTATATCAGTACTCTATGGTTTAGAAATAGGTAGCTACAGAGTGGTAGATATGTGTATGTAAAAATTTTTTTATTTCTTAGAAAACAAAGTGACATGTTTTCCAGGCAGTGAGCTTCCAACATATCAGCTCCACCTTTGTTAGAGAAAGG